AAGAAACCTAAATACCATACATATAAATACTCGCGAAAACATAAGAAAACAAATGTTTAAATAGCGTATACTTCCGTACAATGAGCTACAGCCACATATTCTAGCACAATCATTGCAAATATGAAGCGATCACACTTATCCAATTCAACACCCTGTCACATGCTTCTTCTAGAGTCAGGGATTGCATTGTTGGTATACAGTTGTTAGAGATATTGCAATTGTCTCATACTGTTTACCTTGACTTAGCATGTTGTGCAAAACCATGGATAGCTTAATGTTACATGAAGAACAGAAGAGCAAATAATAATAGCCTGCCATCTATTGGAATGGAGCTGGTCAGTGCTTCTGAAAAAAAACAAAAAACGCCTCTGTTCTCTTCAGTTCCAAAATGCACCTCTTGCTTAGCCCTCACCCCAGCACACTGGGTAATTTGCTCAATTATCAAAGAACTTTGGGAATAAAAACCAACGGGCATGAACTGAACACTCTTGTTTTGAAACCATGCCAATACATCCTCCCCATTTGGATCTGGAAACAAGCCTGCAGCATTTTCAGACTCCTTTAAGGAATGCTTAATCAATGGAGGGTTTTCCAGTTTTGGGGGCTGGGGAGCAGGAGGGCAAGAGAGACAATACAACATTGGATTGTGTAGCCATCTCTTCAAAACAACAGAGGACAAGTTAATCCTCCATTTGAAATAAAAACAAATCATGTAAGGCCTTTAGATCAAATGTAGTAGCAACTTAAACATCAGATACTTTTAAATGTTAGCAGTCTAGACAATACCATTATGACTCACAGCCACCACTTATTTTCACCATTCAATTACCATATTATTACAGTCAGTGCTATCTACTATACTTTTTTTCATTTGTAATTTTAAACAAATAAGCAGTAGTAGTACCGGCTTTTGTAGACGTCCAGCTACATAAAGTGTCTTCCATCGCAACAAATCTTCAATTAAAGCATCAGTACTTATGACACCATATTTTATAACCTGGCAGAAAAGAAAGCTAAATCAGACAAATGAAATTTTGAGATAGGTTTAGCTCTACCTAAATCAAACATTGAAAAGTTAAAAATGCCAGAAGTCTTATTATTCTGACCTTTTTAAGAAAATCAGATTTTCATCTAATTTTGCAGGTCATTTTTCTGAAAAGCAACACATAGTACAGAGCAGGAACCTTTTTCCCCAGGAAATTTTGATTAAGGTGGCAATTTCTTCTTATTCTGCTATATACCCTTGAACTCAGATTTTTTTTTCTCTTCCCTTATTCCATGAGTGTCAAACTTCATCACATTACATGACGTATCGGGATGCATCAGGAAGGTTTTTGTCTTTGCGGAGCTGAGGTGGGCATGGCCTGTGCGTGATGCATCCAGACCACGGGACACCAGTTTGACATCCCTGCCTTATTCTGTAAGACTTCCTAAGAAGGTTGCTATGTTCCTGTGACTGGTTTTGAAACCCTCAGTAAATTTTAAAAAGAATGTATTCATTAAAAGTTTAATTAGAATAAACATTTCATTAATAAATTAGCAGATCAGAATACCTCTAAAATATGATTAACTTTAAAATTCAGTGAATATATTGCCTTCTAACAGCATTACAACACTGGAGAAAGATGATAAAAATCAGACAAATTAGAAATAATTTTGCATTCTTCTTAAGGTGTAAACATGACTTACCCTCCCATTACAAGGCACCAATGTATTGTAGTAAATCCCTGCTCCATAGTTTTGGATGCTGCATATTGACTTGGTTCCAAAATATTTTAGGCAGGAATAATGACTCCGATTTTTTGACAGGTTCATTGCATGCCATGTTGTAGAATCATCAACTGCAAATACAAAATCCAGCATATTGTTCTGCAAAGGAAAAGAAGGTACACTGACTTCTCTAGCTGGCAAAATCCACAATTCATCCGCTAACATCCAAATGTAATTTCAGGGGTCTTAAGCACCAATCTCATTTTTAGTTCGTCCAAGAAGTGTGTGAGACATGATGGAGAATGTTACTTGGACAGCTCTATCTTCCGGTGTGAGGCAGGAAAGACGGAAAGACGTTTGTCATTAGGTTGTCAGATTAACAGAGCAAGTAAAATAGTTTGTAGGAACCCTAAGCCCCACTCCTTTTCCCCTTTGAGGAAGATTAGAACAAGAAACTCAATTCAATGCAGTTCCCTGCATTATGTATATAACTCCTTTCATAAATCTAGAAAATCATGAACAGTTGCCATCTTCAGCTATAATGGGCTAGCACTGGTGTGTGTGTGTGTGTGTGTGTGTATCTATATCTATCTATCTATATCTATGTATCTATCTGTATATCTATATATAAAAACCTGAGGGAACTTCTGATTAATGCAGTGGACAGGTGTCCCAGGCAGGCATCACTGGAAGCCTTGTCACTAGGCAAGACTTAGGAGTAGGCTAAAGCAGTAAAAATAAAAATGATGGCACATGAACCTCAGTGTTAGAAAATCTGTAATATGCTTCGCTGGTGATAGAACTCAATTTAATCTTTCCCGATTTAAGCCAACTTCCTGTGTACACACAGGATTGGCCATCTCTCTGGAATACTAGCGCTCATCCAAGTATGTCAAAATCATGCTTCAGAAACAGGTCCGCTCCTCTCTTTCCAAGGGTAAAACGAATAGATATACAAGGTGGGCAAAATAGCTCAGTGGAGAAGGATGGGCACAAGGGCTTTAGGCCCCCGCCCCGGCTCACCTCCGTTGCGGCGGTAGAAGACCCCGCTTGTTGGAAGACCCCGGAGCCATAAGCGAAGGCTAAGCTGAGCTCTTGAGGGAAGTGAGCCAGGATCCTGCGGAACTTCAGGGCCGAGCTCGGAAAAGCCATGCGAGCAAGCAAGAAGGCGCTCCCGGAATTCGTGCTCGGCGCCTTCTTCCAAACCGGCACGGGGTCAGCCCGGGCGGAAGCTTCGCCTCGCCAGTAGCTCCGGAGAAAAGGTTGTTCGGGATGGGAGAAGAACAACCGACAAGTAGATTACGGAGGCTGTCTAAAACCACAGCGCCCCCTGCCTCAGGCGGTATCGCTCTTTCGCTTTAAGAAAATGGGCGCGCTCTGTTTAAATACATCGGGATGCATCTTTAGTGGATGTAAAACACGTATCCAGCAGCCTCTGTGCAATCGATGAAATATATTCAGAAACACGCTGCTGCGTTAGTTTCAGGGATGCTTTCGCATAACGCCTCCTGTTATTCAAACTTTTCTCTTTTTTAACAGATTTGGAAGGGACCTTGTAGGTCATCTAGTCTAATACCCTGCCCAAGCAGGAGACACCATTTCTGACAAATGGCAGTCCAATCTCTTCTTGAAAGCCTCCAATGATGAAGCTCCCACAACTTCCGAATGCAAACTGTTCCATTGGCTGTTTGCTCTTACTGTTTATTTTCAGATTGAATCTCTCTTTGTTCAGTTTCCATCCATTATTCCTTGTCTGGATTTCTTATGCCTTGAAAAATAGCTTGACCCCCTCCTCTTTGTGGCAGCCCCTCAAATACTGGAAGACTGCTATCATGTCTCCCCTGGTCCTTCTCTTCACTAGACTAGCCATGCCCAGTTCCTGTAACTGTTCGTCATATGTTTTAGCCTCCAGTCCCCTAATCATCCTGGTTGTTCTTCTCTGCACTCTTTCTAGATCTCAACATCTTTTTTATAGTGTGGTGACCAAAACTGGATGCAGTACTCTAGGTGTGATCTTACTAAGGCTTTATAGAGTGGTATTTTTGAGATGTTCTTTAAATCCAACCAAGCACTGCTTCCTTGATCTGCTTTGTAACTGAACTTCATTCCTTTTCTCTGTATGACCAAATTGCTTTCACAGACTTCTTTATGCCAGTTCTTCACGTCTGTATTCTATCCACATTAATTCTAGATCTGCATTTTTTACTCTTTATTAATTGCTTGTTTTGCCACACACATACACACACCCATCCCAATGCATTCATTTTTCTTTTTCTTTTTTCCTGATAATACCCATCTCTCAGTTCCATGGAACAAAGAACCACATTCACATACACAGGCCTTCTGATACGCATTCCTTTCCACAGACAGTTTACTGCCTTTCCATCAGCATTTGCATGTCTTAAAATGTCCCCATTTCACCAATATCAGTACACTACTAAAGTGTACAAGTTAATCTCCATTTACTTTACCCTTTTGCTGATGATATATTATTCTGTTTGTTCATTCCATTTTCCCTGTCAAATCATGTTCGCTGCTTAGATGAATTTTCAGGTTCATAATTCTCACTGCATCATGCAATCTACCATTTTCTCCAAATCATTTGGGGTCTCAAAACAATAAAATGGCATCCTTTGTTTACAAAAGTACATGTACATTCATTTCCCCAACCAATATGCCTTTGATGTGGTAATAAGCACTAGCAATACTGGGGTCTATATTAACCTAATGATTATGTAGCCTTTATTCCCTTCAACTTCACAATGGCATTTGTAATTTAGGCTCTGTGGAGCATTTACAAAATTAAAGTATGGTTGATTAGTTTGTGGCTTAGAGCTGTTGTCCCCAATTCTGGTCTGAGCCTGGTGCTGAGGCTAATGAAGGATTTATTTTTATTATTTATTTATTTATTTATTTTATTGGTTTATCAATTGCTTACAAGATAATAGGTATAAGTAAGAACATAGTTATGAATACATGGATACATATAAGAAAAATAAAAGAAACAATAGGACAGGGGCGGTAGGCACGTTGGTGCCAGACATGAGGTGCAGGTTTTGTTTCCTTTTATTGAAGCATTCCAGGAAAAGGGGTCCTGGATAAAATGCCAAGAGTTCAGAACCAAGGATTAAGAAAGCTTTGTACAATTTCACTAAAGGCAGGGCAAGGCGGAATAATAAGAAATATCATCTAATGGTAATGATCTAATGATTTGTTCTATTGGTCTCTAACTGTCTCTCTTTCTAAGCCTTGATTAATGAATCTAACACACATTCTATTTGCTCCAGGCCATCTCTGTTCCTAACTTTTAGCTCAGCTATGCAGGACGTCTTAACTCTTTGCTGCTGTTATCAGTCCACTAACCACCTAGAATTGCTACAAGTGTTACACGTGCACATTCCCTGTGAATAAGCCTTCTTTGTTCTTGCCAGACAGACTCCACAATTACAGGCTTCGCAGTCTCCTTTCAAGTGTATGCCATAACTTTGCTTTGTTTTAACAGCCAGCCCATCAGAGCTGTGCTTACATAATTTGCTCCTGATGTGGTGCTCTTTGGAGAACCCTGTTTTGTACGCAAAGGCTAGTCCTGAGTTTGAGAAACTGTACCCTAGGGTGGTGTTTATCAACCTTAGCAATTTTAAGATGATTTCTGGGTGTTGGAAGTCCACACATCTTGTTGCTAAAGGTGAGAAACACTGCCCTAAAGGAAATATCCGCCCATTGGGTCTCCATGAGGTTTTTTTCTTAATCCCTATTGAAAACCTCCTTTCAATCAAACCTACTTCTAACTCTCCACTCTCCACCTAGCAGGGATGCTAAGCGGTGTCTCTCACTTCTCCACAGGCTCAATAATACCCAAGAGGCTATTTATGAAAGATAACTAATGTTTACTTTCCTGCATTCAGAAACACAGCCTGAATCAGCTCTATCTAGCCATGTTCTTGCATTCAACAACAACAACAAAAATTCATACAGATCTATGACCAGATTTACACAGTTAAAAGAATACCTGATGGCTGGAGAATTCTGAAAATTGAAGTCCACACATCTTCAGGTTACCACAGCTGAGAAACACTGTTCTAGACTAAGAATTCAAGGACCCAGGCTAGTCACTCTCGAGAGATAACAGATAATCAGAGTTGGAAGGGCCCTTGTAGGTCGTCTAGTCCAACCCCCCACCCAAGCAGGAGATCCTACACCATTTCTGACAAATGGCAGTCCAATCTCTTCTTGAAAGTCTCAAGTGATGGCACTCCCACAACTTCCATTGGTTGATTGTTCTCACTGTCAGAAAGTTTCTCCTTATTTCCAGGTTAAATCTCTCCTTATTCAATTTCCATCCATTATTCCTTGTCTGGCCTACAGGCGCTTTAGAAAATAGCTTGACCCCTTCCTCCTTGTGGCAGCCCATCAAGACCGCTATCATGTCTCCCCTGGTCCTTCTGGCAATAACTTGTTATCTCAAGGGATGTGAATAGCAAGGAGTTTGGTCATTGAATATTCTGGATTTGTCCGTAACAGATATGAGGAAAGATTCGATTTATGTACTCCTCTGCAGCCATACCCGGTAATTTGTAAAGTCTAACATGGCTTTTCATCCAGCGTAATTTCAACTGTTGGAAACTATATCTTTGCTGATTCAGTTATAACACCCCCTCCAATTAATTCACCAGGCTTTCTCTAAATATAGCAATTCTTTCATTCTACTCTCTGTGACCATCTGCTTTGTTTTCATCACCCTGTAATTGCAGGTATCTCCAGCTTTAGCTGTTGTCACACTATATACTCGCTGTTATAATTATACATTTCATTTAGTTTTTCTCAGAATTTTTTTTTTGGAACATTTGCCTCAGAAAAAACAGTGAAGCAATTAAGACTCATTGGTTTTCCAACCTAGATTATTCAGTAATTGTTTTTGGCAGATATATAAATCCCTAGTATATCAACTCATGTTTATTATTTCTGGCTTGTATTTTGTCTTATGTAAATGAAAGGCGTAAATGTGCAGTTTTTCAGCCTGTGTACTCCATGTTTGCATTAGGTATTGAAGCCACAATCTTATAATAATTTCTGGGAGCTACAGTAAGTCACAATCTGGAGTCATAGGATACCCTAAGTTAAAATATGGATACACTGAAGCTCAATCAACTGGATTAATTCAGTGAACTATGATTAAATGAGCTAACTATGATTAAGTGAGCTAGTTCCGAGTAGGCATATGGTAGATGCTATAAAATTTGTTAAAGAATTGTCTAAAGAGCAAGTCCTATTTACTAGTGAGGAAACAAGTGAGATTTCAGCTATTCAACTACTCTACAGCAGTGTATCTCAACCTTGGCAATCTGAAAATGTATGGCCTTCAACTCTTAACATTACCTAGCCAGCATGAAATAAAAAATTCATGAATTGTAACTTTGCTATTGATGAATTAATGAATATTTAGGATAATAATTATTGGTAGATGAAATATATATCAGAATACTACATTAAAATAAATGACAAAACAAAATATTAATGCAAATATGTTAAATGAACAATAAAATATAAAATAATTTATGAATCTGTCAATAGATTTATTTCATTTTTAAAACTACTGTGAGTCTGAATTCAGGATGGAGCTTAGAAGTATTAATATATGAGAAAAATGTATTGCTATATAAAGGTAGAGGCTGGCTGAGGTGGTTCTTGAGAATCATTTGTTTGATCTGCAGTATTGATCCAAAGATTTCTCTATTAGAAGGTAATCTTATCCTAAGGCAAGGGCTGATAATGGGCAGATGGTTCAAGGTTTCCATAAAAAAAACCTGATGGAAAACAGGACTTGGTTACAATGTGCTAGCGCTAGGCAGAGGTGGTATTCAGCAGTTCTGACCAGTTCTGGAGAAGCAGTAGCGGAACTTTTGAGTAGTTTGGAGAACTAGCAAATACCACCTCTGACTGGCCCCGCCCACATCTATTCTCTGCCTCCCAAGTCTCAGCTGATTGGCTGGGTCTTTTTTTGTTGCCCTGCACAGGAGAACCAAGCTGGAAAGCAGGTTAGTGGGTTGGGGAGGGAATGGAGATTTTACACTATCCTTCCCCTGCTATGCCCACCAAGCCATGCCCACCAAAACCGGTAGTAAAAAATTTGGAATCCCACCACTGGTGCTAAGAACCCTTTTCTTAGACTCAGCCTAATGTTTAGGCTCAGCTATATATCGCACCACAATAACTATTA